CTGAAGAGAAGGTTGCTCACTATGAGGACAAGGTTCCTCACTCTGAGGACAAAGTTCCTCACTCTGAGGACAAGGTACCTCACTCTGAGGACGAGCTTCCTCACACTGAGGACAAGATTCCTCACTTTGAAGACAAGGTTCCTCACTCTGAGGAAAAGGTTCCTCACAGTGAGGACAAGGTTCCTCACTCTTAAGTCAGGTTCCTCACTCTGAAGTCAGGTTCCTCACTCTGATGACAAAGTTTATCACCCTGAGGACAAGGTTCGTCACTCTGTGGACAAGGTTCTTCACTATGAGGACAAGGTTCCTCACTCTGAGTACAAGGTTGCTCACTCTGAGGACAACATTCCTCAATCTGAAAACAAGGTTCCTCACTCTGAGGACAAGGTTCCTCACTCTGAGTACAAGGGTCCTCACTCTGAGCACAAGGTTCCTCACTCTGGAAACAAGGTTCCTCACTCTGAGGACAAGGTTCCTCACTCTGAGTACAAGGGTCCTCACTCTGAGCACAAGGTTCCTCACTCTGAGGGCTAGGTTCCTCACTCTGAGGACAAGGTTCCTCACTCTGAGAATAAGATTCCTCACACTGAGGACAAGGTTCCTCACTCTAACGACAATGTTCCTCACACTGAGGAAAAGGTTGCTTTCTCTGAGAACAACGTTCATAACTCTGAGGACAAGGTTCCTCACTTTGAAGAGAAGGCTGCTCACTATGAGGACAAGGTTCGTCACTCTGAGGACAAAGTTCCTCACTCTGAGGACAAGGTACCTCAATCTGAGGACGAGCTTCCTCACACTGAGGACAAGATTCCTCACTATGAAGACAAGGTTCCTCACTCTGAGGAAAAGGTTCCTCACAGTGAGGACAAGGTTCCTCACTCTGAAGTCAGGTTCCTCACTCTGAAGTCAGGTTCCTCACTCTGATGACAAAGTTTATCACCCTGAGGACAAGGTTCGTCACTCTGAGGACAAGGTTCTTCACTATGAGGACAAGGTTCCTCACTCTAAGGACTAGGTTCCTCACTCTGAGGACAAGGTTCCCCACTCTGAGTACAAGGTTGCTCACTCTGAGGACAGCATTCCTCAATCTGAAAACAAGGTTCCTCACTCTGAGGACAAGGTTCCTCACTCCGAGTACAAGGGTCCTCACTCTGAGCACAAGGTTCCTCACTCTGAAGAAAAGGCTGCTCACTATGAGGACAAGGTTCCTCACTCTGAGGACAAAGTTCCTTACTCTGAGGACAAGGTACCTCAATCTGAGGACGAGCTTCCTCACACTGAGGACAAGATTCCTCACTATGAAGACAAGGTTCCTCACTCTGAGGAAAAGTTTCCTCACAGTGAGGACAAGGTTCCTCACTCTGAAGTCATGTTCCTCACTCTGAAGTCAGGTTCCTCACTCTGATGACAAAGTTTATCACCCTGAGGACAAGGTTCGTCACTCTGAGGACAAGGTTCCTCACTCTAAGGACTAGGTTCCTCACTCTGAGGACAAGGTTCCCCACTCTGAGTACAAGGAATGCTCACTCTGAGGACAACATTCCTCAATCTGAAAACAAGGTTCCTCACTGTGAGGACAAGGTTCCTCACTCCGAGTACAAGGGTCCTCACTCTGAGCACAAGGTTCCTCACTCTGAGGAGAAGGTACCTCACTCTTAGGACGAGATTCCTCATACTGAGGACAAGGATCCTCACCCTGGGACAAGTTTTCTAACTCTGAGGGCAAGGTTCCTCACTCTGAAGTCAGGTTCCTCACTCTGAGGACAAGGTTCGTCACTCTGAGGACAATGTTCTTCACAAGGAGGACAAGGTTCTGCACTCTGAGAAGAATGTCCTCACTCTGAGGACAAGGTTCCTCACTCTGAGGACAAGGTTCCTCACTCTGAAGACAGGTTCCTCGCTCTGAGGAGGAGGTTCATCATTCTGAGAACAAGGTTGCTTACTCTGAAAACAAGGTTCCTCCCTCTGAGAAGAAGGGTTCCTAAATATGAGAACAAGGTTCCTCACACTGAGGACATGGTTCCTCACTCTGAGGACAAGGTTCTTCACTCTGAGAATAAGATTCCTCACACTGAGGACAAGGTGCCTCACTCTAAGGAGAATGTTCCTCACACTGAGGAAAAGGTTGCTTTCTCTGAGAACAACGTTCATAACACTGAGGACAAGGTTTCTCACTCTGAAGAGAAGGTTGCTCACTATGAGGACAAGGTTCCTCGCTCTGAGGACAAAGTTCCTCACTCTGAGGACAAGGTACTTCAATCTGAGGACGAGCTTCCTCACACTGAGGACAAGATTCCTCACTATGAAGACAAGGTTCCTCACTCTGAGGAAAAGGTTCCTCACAGTGAGGACAAGGTTCCTCACTCTGAAGTCAGGTTCCTCACTCTGAAGTCAGGTTCCTCACTCTGATGACAAAGTTTATCAGCCTGAGGACAAGGTTCGTCACTCTGAGGACAAGGTTCTTCACTATGAGGACAAGGTTCTTCACTCTAACGACTAGGTTCCTCACTCTGAGGACAAGGTTCCCCACGCTGAGTACAAGGTTGCTCACTCTGAGGACAACATTCCTCAATCTGAAAACAAGGTTCCTCACTCTGAGGACAAGGTTCCTCACTCTGAGTACAAGGGTCCTCACTCTGAGCACAAGGTTCCTCACTCTGAGGAGAAGGTACCTCACTCTTAGGACGAGATTCCTCACACTGAGGACAAAGATCCTGACCCTGGGACAAGTTTTCTAACTCTGAGGGCAAGGTTCCTCACTCTGTAGTCAGGTTCCTCACTCTGAGGACAATGTTCTTCACAAGGAGGACAAGATTCTGCCCTCTGAGAAGAATGTCCTCCCTCTGAGGACAAGGTTCCTCACTCTGAGGACAAGGTTCCTCACTCTGAAGACAGGTTCCTCGCTCTGAGGAGGAGGTTCATCATTCTGAGAACAAGGTTGCTTACTCTGAAAACAAGGTTCCTCCCTCTGAGAAGAAGGGTTCCTCAATATGAGAACAACGTTCCTCACACTGAGGACATGGTTCCTCACTCTGAGAACAAGGCTCCTCACTCTGAGGAGAAGGTTCCTCAAACTGAGGAAAAGGTTCCTCACTCGGACAATAAGGTTCCTCACCCTGAGAACAAAGTTCCTCACTGTGAGGACAAGGTTCTTCACTGTGAAAGCAGATTCCCCATTCTGAGGACAAGGTTCATCACTCTGAGGACAATGTTCCTCACACTAAGGACAAGGTTCCTCACTCTGAGAACAAGGCTCCTCACTCTGAGGAGAAGGTTCCTCAAACTGAGGAAAAGGTTCCTCACTCGGACAACAAGGTTCCTCACCCTGAGAACAAGGTTCCTCACTGCGAGGACAAGGTTCCTCACTGTGAAAGCAGATTCCCCATTCTGAGGACAAGGTTCATCACTCTGAGGACAAGGTTCCTCACACTGAGGACAAAGTTCCTCTGTCTGAGGACAAGGTACCTCACTCTGAGGACGAGGTTCCTCACTGTGAGGACAAGGTTCCTCACTCTGAGGACAAGGTTCCTCACCCTGAAGGCATGTTCCTCGCACTGAGGACAAGATTGCTCACTCTGAGGACAAGGTTCCTCACTCTGAGGGAAGGTTCCTCACTCTGAGGACAAGGTTCCTCACTCTGAGGACAAGGTTCCTAACTCTGAGAATAAGAGTCCTTACACTGAGGACAAGGTTCCTCACTCTAAGGACAATGTTCCTCCCACTGAGGAAAAGGTTGCTTTCTCTGAGAACAACGTTCATAACACTGAGGCCAAGGTTCCTCACTCTGAAGAGAAGGTTGCTCACTATGAGGACAAGGTTCTTCACTCTGAGGACAAAGTTCCTCACTCTGAGGACAAGGTACCTCACTCTGAGGACGAGCTTCCTCACACTGAGGACAAGATTCCTCACTATGAGGACAAGGTTCCTCACTCTGAGGAAAATGTTCCTCACAGAGAGGACAAGGTTCCTTACTCTGAAGTCTGGTTCCTCACTCTGAAGTCAGGTTCCTCACTCTGATGACAAAGTTCATCACTCTGAGGACAAGGTTCGTCACTCTGAGGACAAGGTTCTTCACTATGAGGACAAGGTTCCTCACTCTGAGGACTAGGTTGCTCACTCTGAGGACAAGGTTCCCCACCCTGAGTACAAGGTTGGTCACTCTGAGGACAACATTCCTCAATCTGAAAACAAGGTTTCTGACTCTGAGGACAAGGTTCCTCACTCTGAGTACAAGGGTCCTCACTCTGAGCACAAGGTTCCTCACTCTGAGGAGAAGGTACCTCACACTTAGGACGAGGTTCCTCACACTGAGGACAAGGATCCTCACCATGGGACAAGTTTTCTAACTCTGAGGGCAAGGTTCCTCACTCTGAAGTCAGGTTCCTCAATCTGAGGACAAGGTTCCTCACTCTGAGGAGAAGGTTCTTAACAAGGAGGACAAGGTTCCGCACTCTGAGAAGAATGTCCTCACTCTGAGGACAAGGTTCCTCACTCTGAAGACAAGTTTGCTCACTCTGAGGACAACATTCCTCAATCTGGGGAGGAGGTTTATCATTCTGAAAAAAAGGTTGCTTACTCTGAAAACAAGGTTCCTCACTCTGAGAAGAAGGGTTCCTCAATATGAGAACAAGGTTCCTCACACTGAAGACATGCTTCCTCACTCTGAGAACAAGTTTCCTCACTCTGAGAGCAAGGTTCCTCACCCTGAGGACAAGGTTCCTCACTCCGTGGGCAAGGTTCCTCACACTGAGGACAAGTTTCTTCACTCTGAGAACAAGGTTCTTCACTCTAAGGACAAGGTTCCTCATTCTGAAGACAACGTTCCGCACTCTGATGGCAGGTTCCTCAGACTGCGGACAAGGTTCCTCGCTCTGAGGACAAGGTTCCTCACTCTGAGGACAAGGTTCCTCACACTAAGGACAAGGTTCCTCACTCTGAGAACAAGGCTCCTCACTCTGAGGAGAAGGTTCCTCAAACTGAGGAAAAGGTTCCTCACTCGGACAACAAGGTTCCTCACCCTAAGAACAAGGTTCCTCACTTTGAGGACAAGGTTCCTCACTGTGAAAGCAGATTCCCCATTCTGAGGACAAGGTTCGTCACTCTGAGGACAAGGTTCCTCACACTGAGGACAAAGTTCCTCTCTCTGAGGACAAGGCTCCTCACCCTGAAGGCATGTTCCTCGCACTGAGGACAAGATTGCTCACTCTGAGTACAAGGTTGCTCTCTCTGAGGACAAGGTTACTCACACTGAGGACAATGTTCCTCAGTCTGAAGTCAGGTTCCTCACTCTGAGGACAAGGTGCCTCACTCTGAGGACAAGGTTCCTCACTGAGAAGACAGGATCCTCCATCTGAGGACAAGGTTCATCACTCTGAGAACAAGGTTCCTCACTGTTAAAACAAGGTTCCTCACTCTGAGAACAAGGGTTCCTCAATTTGAGGACAAGGTTTCTCACACTGAGGACATGGTTCCTCACCCTGAGAACACGTTTCCTCACTCTGAGAGCAAGGTTCCTCACCCTGAGGACAAGGTTCCTCACTCTGAGGGCAAGGTTCCTCACACTGAGGAGAAGATTCCTCACTCTGAGGAGAAGGTTCTTCACTCTAAGGACAAGGTTCCTCTCTCAGAAGACAACGTTCCGCACTCTGATGGCAGGTTCCCCAGACTGCGGACAAGGTTCCTCGCTCTGAGGACAAGGTTCCTCACTCGGAGGACAAGGTTCCTCACTCTGAAGTCAGGTGCCTCACTCTGAAGACAATGTTCCTCACTGTGAGAACAAGGACATTGAACGGATACAGAAATCATTGAAGATCCAAATCACAAACTTCGCGGCACTATTGCCGAATTTGAACTCAACTACTGCACATTAATCCCTGAGGACAAAGAGAACCTTTGAGTTTCCAATAATTAATACTAATAGATACATGAACACATACATAATCGCAAGTTCTAAACGTTTTAATTCATAGTTCATAGTTTTAGCATTCGTATACATTTGCATGTTTCCAATTTTCAAGTTTAAATTTTAAGCTTTGTAAACATAGAGGCATAGAGGTTTAGTTTATATAAATTAGAAACACTCCTTGTAAATCTTTTAAGATTTCATGGTTAAAACCATGTAATTCAGCTTAATAGCTGTATTAAGTTGGTAATTTTTTATTACTGTAATCTATTAAACTATGTCAAAATATTGTCGCAGAAAGTCACAGTCTATAGAATAGACCCTTCAATAAACCCTGCCAGACAAATTCTGATTATGAATATTCATACTTGCCAAACTGAAATTTGAGAATTTAAATACACGTTGTTTCATGGTTTTATCCTAAACGAATTGAGTCATTCGAGATCGCGCCTTTCAAGAGATGTTTTTGACCCTGTTTTGAAATATAAACAAGTAAACGGAGCTTAATCAAACACGCTTGACAATTAGTTAAAGCGGCAATCCCTCTATTTTATTATGGATTGCTCGCAGTCTAGCACGATATTTTCTAATTTCCTTCTAATACTATCCGGCTCGAAGGACCATGTGGTAAAATAAGATCTTCACTCGTTAAAAAGTTGAATAATACTCAACCTCGTTCCCAGGGCTTTTCCCTTTTTGTCATTGAGAAGGCGGGAAAAGGCCCTGGCACCGGCCGGTCTTCTATGTATTCTGATTGGTCAATAACAAGAACATTATTATGCAAATAATGCATTCTTGGATTAATTTATTCAAATTTTGGGATAAATTAAAATTTCATGCCAAGTGTGTCCATTATTAATACTTTGTCCGTCTAAGAAATATTTTTGGCAAAATCTGTGGCAAAATGGTTAAATTCGATAAGATTTATACACAATTTGTCGAAGGTTAGTATTATTGTTTGTTTTAAACTGCGAGAGAAGATTCATTGTGTACTAGAACATACCTCTGAGCCTCTGACCGAGTATTTAGGGCAATTCGTATAGCGTTTTATATAATGTTTATTTATAAAACTAAAGTCTGGGTTTATAAACTGAAACATGACCTTTAGTTTTTGATGTTCTTCATAGTCGAGTTTAAATTGGCCTAATTTATAGTTAGTTACCACTAGAAATGCGACGATATTTTGTTATATCATGTATGCAACAGTGTTTACAACTTTTGAATAATATTGTGATTTGGTTTTGTTTCAGATACTATTACATGTTGCTTCATTTTACCATAAATTGTGTTAGAAAAGTGATTTGCTCATTTGGCCGATGTTACAGTTTTCTGATGTGTTTTGTTTCGATGATATTAGAACAATTTCAATATGAAAGTGCAGGTGTCTTTAGACATGAGCCATATAAATGTATATATCAAAATACTGATAAAATCAGTTTCCAGCTTGATTGTATTTGTATTTGTTGTATTTGCATTGTTGCAGAAAAAGTTGTGCAATATATGGTGGGCTTATGTCACATACTCATATGTAATTCCATGTGCCTGCATGTAGTACTTTGATGCCTCAAGAGATGCTTCGAATGTGTAATAAAGGGCTGTTCGCAGGAGTTGGGCTGTCTGGCCTTAAATTGCATTGTTTTTATGATATTTTAAGATTGTATTCATATGGCTGGACCATCATGCCATTGCCACAATGTCTGATGTTCAAACAGGCTTTAAAATCAGGTTACAATGCATGCTTGAAAATATGCAACAATTTCACTGCTAATAATATTCCAGAAAATCCTGCCTCTTGGGCAGATCTGGACTGATTTGTCAGAGGGGGTTGGAGGTTTTCTATACTTGTATTGGGCAAGGGGAGCTAGCCAAGGGTGCTGGGTCAGAGTCAAACTCATGTGAACAGCTTCTAAGTCCTAATTATATTGATAAATTATGTACACTTTGGGATGGTAATGCAATTTGTAAAATATTCCACATTTTATTTAATAAAATTTAATTATATACATTGTTTTTGTTGTTTATATATTAACACCTTGGACAGTGTATATTTACACCTTTGGACCCTGTAAATAAACACCTTTGGAGGGTATACCCATTCTAAGCCAAAGACATTTAAGAACAATTATCAAGGTATTTGCATGATAAAATATATTTAAAACTGCTCTCCATATACATGTAATGCATGGTTCAATTCTTGCTTTTACCAAGTAAACCCAGGGATTTTCAATGTCCCCCTCCTCCCGTAGAATTCACTTGAAGTGACTGGGGCAAGGTAGCTATAAGTATAAGTAGTTATATTAATTTAATTAAAGTCAATTAAAATTTACAAATTGAGCTTTTTGAATATAGACCATTGCAAAATTTTTTAAATTTGTTTAACCCTTTATAGTGGCAATGTCCCTACTTTAGTATATTACTCCGTCTGGTGCCAGACAATTTTACTCAAGGGCAGAATGTAGACTTGCCACAAGTCGACCTCGAACGAAACGTCGGCTCACACTCGCTGCTTGCGTTTCGTTCGAGGTCGACTTGTGGCAAGTCTAGGCAGAATGCTGCCACTCAATGAGTTAATATATTCTCAGAACAATTACCATCAAATTTAATCTATTTTGCTGGCAAAATTGCCTTGGAGGGGGTCCTTGATTTGTTGAGTCTTTTTTTTGGGGGAGGGGGTGAGTGTTGTAAAAAACAGCATAGCAACTGGTTTCAGAATAGGAAGAATTGTTGTAATATAGGTAATATAATTCTAAGACAAATCATTCAAAAGAAGCAATCATTCTAGCTCTTGTAGTGTATGTT